CAAATAACTTGATTCCCTGATACAAAAAAGCAAGTTCACTTGCAACTGACAGTGTTAAATAAGAGCAGCTATTTTGGTGAATCCACTTCCCCTATTAGTTCCTCCCTGTTTGTGAGCAGAAGGTCAAGCTGCGCACGGCCCCTGGTCGGATCCTTCAGCACCTGTGTCAAGAAGTTATCCCCAACATTCTCCAAAAACTTCCTGGATTGCCTGTGTACTGCCATATAGGTTTCCCAGCAGATGTCAGGGTGATTAAAGTCCCCCACAAGAACCAGGGCCTGCGATCTGGAAGCTTCGCTCAGTTGTCCGAAGAAAGCCTCACTGTCTACACTGTAAGAAGAACTATGTGTTAGCCATGTCTAGCATATTTATAGTTGGGTTCTCCAATACTAAACAAAAAAACAGCCATATTGGATCAGACCAAATGTCTGTCTAGCTCAGTATCCTGTCTTCCAACAGTGGCGACAGAGGGAGTGGCAACAGAGAGAGTGAACAGAACAGGTAATCAAGTGATCCTTCTGTCAGCCATTTCCAGCCTCTGACAAACAGAGGCTAGGGACGCCATTGATGGACCTAACCGCCATGAATTTATCTAGTTCTTTTTTGAACTACTTTTTTGAATACCGTTAGAACTACCATGTAGTTCCTGACCCAATTCTCATGTGACTTTTTTTTTTTAATTTGCATCTTCTATATGTGAATGTGACAAAATTACATGATATTTAAGAGATCACAAGTTCTAAATAAATGACTTTATATAGACTGGTGGATGAAGTATATAGGCACTAATTATTTACAGATTAACTCATGGCATTAGTGAATATATTTGTGGGGTTTGGGTTTTTTTGGGTGTGTTGATGTCAAATTCCTGTTTGTTTTAAACATCCTTTTCTGTGTGCATTTGAATGAATGGAAGAAGCTTTCTGAAGTATCTTCAGACAAAATTTAAAATCTGCACACCTGTATATCCTGATTTTTACCATTCTAAAGAGCATGACTCTTTCTTGGACAGCTCAGAATCTCCCTATTGTGAAAAATTAGGTCAGGAGGAGGTGAAATGTATGTGTTCCAGTTTCAAATCTGCGATGTCCCTCAGAAATAGTGCTTTTTTCCCTTTAGCCTATAAACACTTGGAGCCTTGAATATCTTTATCTTTGACTCTTCTACAGGGCTAATATACTGACAGGCTGTGTCTAGTCTGGCAAGTTTTTCCGCAAAATCATCTGCTTTTGCGGAAAAACTTGCCAGCTGTCTACACTGGCCCCTTGAATTTCCGCAAGAACGCTGACGATTTCATGTAAGATCTTCAGGGTTCTTGCGGAAATACTGTGCTGCTCCCATTCGGGCAAAAGCCCTCTTGCACAAATCATTTGCGCAAGAGGGCCAGTGTAAACAGCACAGTACTGTTTTCTGCAAAAAAGCCCCGATCGCGAAAATGGCGATTGGGGCTTTTTTGCGGAAAAGCGCATCTAGATTGGCCACGGACGCTTTTCCACAAAAAGTGCTTTTGCGAAAAAGCGTCCTGCCAATCTAGACGTGCTTTTCCGAAAATGCTTTTAACGGAAAACTTTTCCGTTAAAAGCATTTCCGGAAAATCATGCCAGTGTAGACATAGCCACAGTGTAAAACAGAACATTATAACAAAATAGCAGATTCAACCACTCACAAGATCACTGCAAAAACTAGAAAATACTTTAAAGGTAAAATGATTTGATTTGGACTTGGTGGGGGACTCTTACCATATAATTCACTTTAAAAGTGTGAGATATGTTACATGAGCTTGTTTATAGCTGTAAGGTAATTATGGTCACAAGAAGCAATCTTGGAGGGACCCAGCAGGTTAGTGATGATTTCATCTTACTCAGAGATTATATGGCAAGTGGTGATTACGGGACACTACACTATACCTTGCTGAGCTGAACTGTGTTTGACCAACAAAATCCATTCAAAAGTAAATAGGCACTGAAGGAGAGGTTTGGGGGTGGGAGGAGCAGCACATGGTCTGTTGAGAAGCAACCTTTGACTAATCTTCTAATCATATTAATTAGCAGCATTTAGCATGTTACCCACTCTGAATGAAGAACTGAAAAACTGTAAGGACAAATTCTGTCTTGGTTGGTGCAGTGATGCAGAACAGCTGTGTTTGTATGCAGGGTTGGGTGGTTAAAGAGAGCTGCTCGCAGAAAGACTGAGGTGGCTTCTTTAATAGGTTGAACCTTCTCAGTGAGGAGTATCATCCGAGGTACTGAGCATTTACATTTAACTTTTATTTCAGCTTTCAGGTGCTGGGCACTTTTGAAAAGCCGGTCCTAAAAGGACAGATCTTCAGGTGTTTTAGGTGCCTAAAGAGGTAGATAAGTGCCTAGACACTTTTGAAAATCCCACTGGGTGACTTCCCATTGCTGTACAAAAGATAATTTCAGCTGAAGTGCTTATAGAAGTCACAGTAAAATGAGCCAACATTTCAACCCACTTATCAAAGCACTTGCTGTTCTCTTTTGAAGACACATGTAACTAAATGTTGAACAATCAGCCTGTCTGAATTCAGAGTATTTTGATACATATTCACATAATTATTACAGAAGTTCAGACCCAGTTAGATTTGCCAGCTAGGGTTTAAAAAATGTTTTACTCATAGGACGCCCAGGAGAGGGAAATGGAGTAGGGTGTTTTGGAAGAGGGAGCACAAGGGACAGGGAGAGGAGCAGAGAAGGAGAATCAGAAATAACAGCAGAAACTCTTGTTGTAGCAGCAAAGTGGGGATTTCTCCCTCCTACATACGGTGAAGGTGGCATATGCTATAGCACACTTTTCTATTCAGAACTAATTTAACTAACTGCACAGCAGAAAGGGAGGGTGCAGGAAATCCCCAAGGGAAAGTATTTTATTGAAAAACAGAATTTGAAGCAACCAACTAGTAATTGGTGTGCTGGTAAAGTGCAGTAAGGTTGTTCAGTGAACTGTAAATCCATTTCCTCTCCACTGGGGAAAAGAAACCTACATGTCAAACATTAAACATGCAAGAACAAAAGCATCAAGGGAAGCACTGCAAGTATTCTTTGTCTCACTTGTGTTGGCACTGTCCCCACACTTATTTTTTCCAACGAAGAACTATTTGGAAAGAGTAAACTCACTGCTGGCTGGCAGATCCTGGGAATTATGAGAGAAGAACTTTAACACGCTCTTTCATTTTGAGTTGGTGACACCTAATAACTGCTCCTAGTGAAAGTGACTGACTTCACCAGTGACTACCTTGCAGTCTCCTCCTTTAGCCATGAGGTACATTGTGGTACTGTATTAGCTGTGGTTCAAGGGGTGCATGGTCATTACTGTACTTAAGGCTGCCATTCCTCCAGGATTGTCTGGAGTCTCCTGGAACAGAAAATTAATCTTTAATTTAAAGATTATGTCATGGGATGAAACCTCCAGGAATACATTCTGGCCTAGTGGTTAGGTCCCAGAATTAGCCAGCAGAAAAGGGGTGCAGAATCCTGCTGCTGGTGACCTGGCCTAGAAACTCCAGCCCACTATATGAAATCTCACAATTTCCCATGGATTGGGAATTCTGTTTTTTGACTGGTTCTACTTACATTTTAAGATACAGGGAGAGTTTGTGGTAGACTGTAGAAAACTTAGATAAGCTTTTGAAAGCCTGCCTACACTTGAAAGAAAACCATATTAAATTAATGAGGTTAAGTTCAGTTTATGCTAATATAACTTGCATATTATTTGCCTTGCCAGTGCAGTGGGGGAGTAACTATTTTACGAATGATGTTGAATAGGGTTGACAATTCTGTCAAATCAGACAGACCAGATGTCATCATTGCCGCAAATGGAGTCTGGTGCAACTGAGTTGGCAACCCTCGTGTTTAAAAAGTCTAGATTGAACAATGGTTTTTAAACCATGATTTCTAATAGCATTTTGCCTGATCTAATTAGTATTTCAGTAATCCTTTATCTTTAATGTAGATGGGTCCTTAGAGTCCTTAAGTTTGTGGGAACTTTCGTAACACTTTACAGCTAGAACATTTGCATATGACTTTTTGGTTTTTTCCCCCAAAGAAATGTGGGTTCAGACCTAGAGATGCATATTCTACTTCATATGCAAAAAGACCATGTTAAAGGACAAAACTAATTTTGTTTTGCTTGACTTCAGTAGTTTCTGTGTAGTCAACATCTTTCTGATGGGATCAGTGACCTGCTTTGCTGAGGACATAAAATTGAAAACAAGCTTTTTGTGTTTGTTTCTCAATCTATGATTTTTTTTTAAACTAGTAAATGGAAGAAGGGAGAGAGGCACAAAACTAGGCATGAGTGACTGGAGAAAAAACTTTTCAGTAGATTGTCAGCTGTGATTTCATTGTTCACTGTTAAGGTAGTAATGTGGATAATAATTGCTGTTTTATCATTTTGCTTGTGTCTGAGTAAACTGAAATCCCAGTTTATAGCAATAAAGTTTCTGTTGGTTTAGTGCCAGAAGTACAATTTTTGTTATTTTTCTAAAAAAAAATTATCTTCTTCTGCTTTATCCACCTGGGAAATAATCACAGACCACTTTTCTCTCACCTTAAATTTGGGGCAAGGTAGGTATATTGAATACAGTTCTAAGGCCTGGAAAATGATTGAAATGCATTAGTCTTGAGCTTTTATCTTCTTAAAATGAAAGCACCTTTATTTATAATCTGCCGTGACTGTACTGATAATCAATATTATGTAATATTCTCTCTGTCAAAATGTAATCCTTATTTTGATGTGAGTAGTATTTGCATATGGATTTCTTAGCTGCATTGGCACACCAGATGCACAGTGGTAGCTGTCTCCGCCTGCTAATCCTGTAATAACATTCTGGTGACCAAATTCAATGGCTTTGCCTGAGCCTTGAAACAGCTGATTGCTGACAAGGAAAGGAGGAAAAAAAGCAGCGAATCTCATTGCAGCTCTCTGCTGCATCCCTATCCCACAATCCCTTGCACAGTTTGCTGCAGTCTTTCAACACCGGCAAGTGAGAGAAAGATATGCTAAATAAAGACTGATTGGTCTGAATCATGAAAGGGTCTCCCACTTGTTAATGATCCAGGGAAGAAAAAAAAATTCATGATGACTTCACTGGGCCTCTTTTTATTTCTTCCATTTTTCTTTACACCTGTTCTCTACGTTGAATGGAGCATCACTACCTAGAGCAAAAAATATGCTGTGCCTCTAATAATGACACTGCTGCCTGGGATTCTTTAACAGCTTCATGCTTGAGGCTCTTAAAGTTGAAAAATTAACAGAATAATGCTTTGTTTATTTGGATTACTGAGGAACTGCAGCTCCATCCCTGAAAGGATCTTATACTCTGCACCCCACTGATTAAGCTATTTATCTACAAAGATGGGTAGGTCTGAAATGTTCAAATTTGCTTAGTATTATGCCTGATGACTACTCTTGAGTCACTCCTGGTCTGGCAACTCTGTTTGTTCTTTATGATGCTGCATGCTGTAGTAAATGGAAGATGCTTACTCTATATTTTAAACAGTGGCACCAAACTGGTTACAAGAATGTACTAGGTTTCTGCATATTGATGATGAATTTACTTTGTATCTTGATCTTATGTGTTTGGAGACAGACTAACATTAGAGCAGCTGTTGTAACTGGATTGAATTAATCATTTTATTCCTATGCAGGTAGCTAGGCAGGCATAGTATCCGGTTGATGAAAGTTTACCCATGTCTACTGATATTTCTGAAGCAGCATTATTTAGAATCCCCCATCCTTTCCAACAGAACTCAGTGCCTAACAGTTTCATTGCAAACGTTGCCATTGGAAACCTATTCATTCATAATACATGAATAGACCCTGTAGGTTCTGTATATCATTGATAGGTAACAGACAAGGAACCAGCAAATGATTTGGTTTATTCTGATAGTTTTTCACACAGTCTACTTGCAGTTCTGGGTGGGTGGAGTTCTTGGATAGCACTGTCTGCAAGAAGGGAATGTTCTGCCTTTTTATGAAACTGAACTATGGCATATAATAACTTATTATGATTTTGTTTTAATTTTGTATGGACAATCCTATATAACTTCATAGATAATCAAATTCCTGTTTTAGAAACATAGGGGGAATAATGCATATATTCGTAATGTGAGAGTATTTAACTATTTCAACAATTAACCAAAAGTTGAAATACTGGCAATATTAAAAATCAAAATGGGATGATTTTCTAAAAGGTACGTCTAGGAAATATCATATAGGCCTACAGTATATAGGAGGCCAGAGTAGACAATCACAATGGAGGCTTCTGATCTGGAAATATGTGAATCTATTGAAAGTCTAAAGGCTGGTTTAAAAGAAATGGTAAGAATAATATTAAACTGTGAAGGTTTTTTCGGATAAGTCTTTTAGAATGTCATTTATGGAATCCTAATGGGTTTTATCCCTATGAAATTCTAAATGGGGTGGGGCTGCATGCTGACATTTCTGACTGAATTTGTGTACACTTTCCAAGGGTTTGGATGTTGTTCCACAGAAGTGGCATTTTTCTTCCTTGTGCTTTAAATGACATTTTGAATGAAAATTGATAAATACTTCCATACAGATGGATACCGGAAAGAGACAAAATATTATTTTCAGGAAAGCTGGGAATGTAATTTATGTGCACTGGGTGGGAGACAAAGAATACTTCATTTTTCTGAGCTCTTTCTGGAATTGATTTAGCTAAGATGAGCTGGGTTTCCAAGGCTCGTCTCATAAAATCAGAGGGTGGGGTTTTGATGTATTTGTATTTGACAGTCCATTCATCAGCTTCAGCTTAATAGATAGATATAGATTGAGAGAGAGAGAGTTCTATAGCTGTATATATACATGGAGACTCCCAGGGTCTTACATGAAACAGTGATGACCATTCTTAATCCACCTAGTTGAGAAGTTAAATTATAGTGCCATTAACATGCAGTATAGCTGTAGCCATGTACCTTGTGTCCCTAATGCCATTAACAGAGAGGGGAAAAGAAGTTTCCTGTCTTCTGTAAAACAAAGCAGTAGCCTGTTACACCCAAATGTTAGCCACATGGTTTTTCTGCAATGAGGATATGTGGAAGTTTAACTTAAACCACATAAAAAGAGTCCAAGAAGTTTTGGCTAAATGTGACAATCAAAAAATGGTATTATAGAATGTTTTCCTTTTAAAAATTACTATTACTATTGCTAGATCCATAATTAAAATAGCCCTGAAATATAAGTAACCCTGTGAAGTGCTGCTGCTGCCATAAATAAAAATAAAATTTATCTTCAACCAATTCCTCTGGGGGTTATTTTAGATGGTCAGCTCATACTTAGTGAGTAGTCCTTGATTATTCCTTTAGTAGTCAGTGGGTAAAATTCACTCCACTGATAAGTCCACTGAATTAGTAGAGCTACACTTGGGATGAATTTGGCTCAGTGGGATACTTGCACAAGAAAGGGTTGCAGGATCAGACAGTTAATCCCCAATTGCGCAAACACATATTCAACTATTGTATGGAACTGTTGGTATGTGTAAATTGCATATATAAGTGTTTGCAGGATCAAGGCCTAAGATTGTAATTTGTCAAGCTATTTCCAGCTGCCTGTATGCAGTGACAGGTGCTCACTATATTTTGTTTTTTAAAAGAAGCTTGCAGAGTAAAGACATTTGTTTAATCAAAAATAACTTCTCAGCCTGTATGCCCCTTGATAATATATGTCAGTTTTTTTCTGAAATCCTTAGGGGGGAGGGAGGAGAGCGCCAGTAAAACAACCTTCCATACAAATAAATGCAAATACCTTTTCTAAATCGCACGTTTGAAAATCCATTCATTTGGGCAATGGTAGGTGATAGTCCAGGTGTGGTATGTTTTAGACAAAATATATAGGGAACATTTCAGATGGAATGTAGTTATTTTAAAACTCTTTCGCGTGGTTTCTTTTGGATGATTTGTATCTTAAACCAGTGGACAGAATGAGATTGGTATATGATATTCCATTTACAATGAAATTTGGAACTGTAATTGGTGAGGATGAAGTTAGACAGATGAAATGTCTTTGACAATAAATAAATAAATAAATTAAATAAATAAGTCTTTGCATTCAATTAAACATTTTAACTGTAAAGAGCCTGCAGTCCTTAAAGAGCCAAAATTATAGAAATAATGAGAGTTTTGCCTAGGTAATAACTGCAGGAATTGACTTGAAGAATAGTTTTCTTTTATGAATTTCATTGGCTGTGTAAAAGCTCTCTGTGGTGGAGACTAACTAAGCATGTTACTTTTTTTGATTGACAGCCACATAAACTTTATGCTGTTTGTAATCTATTTTGTACTCAGTTTGAAAAACCTGCTTTTTAGTATGCAGTATTCGTATATGTAGTATTTAGTATATGCAGAAATATTTCTGTTTTTCTCTCTCTCTCTCTTTATATTTTAGGTTAGTATAGAGTGGGGAGCAGATGGAACTGTGAATTTAATGATCAAATAAATTTCCTTCCAATCAAATCTTTGAAATTCACAACCCTCACAGTCCAGTGAACTGATGCATATTCATGTTTGGCTAATACTGTTTCTGATCTCACTTTTAGAAGCTGTTCAGTTTGGCTGCCTGGTTTGGTTTTGTTTTGGTTTTTTAACTTGCACTTTTAAGATGTAACATGATCTCATAAGCAGGAGTTTGTGTGGGTATGCAAGTGCAAGGGAAATCAGGGACCAGTTTAACCACTATGCATGTAAATTTCATATGTTATGTCTTCAGTTCACAACTTCTTACTGTTTTAATAATGAATAATTTTATAACACTTTGCTCGTTATGAGGTGATTCCTAGAGGAGTCTAGCCTCTTAGAAAAGCCAATGCAGCTTTTCCATAGCCATCCTAATTAGTCAAACACACAAAAGAAAAACAAACCAGTAAAATATATGAATCTCGTCAGACACAACTCAGAGAATGCTGGGTTCATCTTTATTAGGTTTATACATTTTTGCCTTTGTAATTGTTGCTATACATAATGGATTCAATGGGAGACCAGACCTTACAATATTTACAAAATACCATGGACCAGATTTTGTGGAATTCATTTGGCTTCTGAATTCATGTGACCATTCATAGAGAGATGGGCACTGTTGTTAAACAAACATCAGATGTATGAAGGAAACATTTCTTTAAGAAGTTTGCCAATCAAAGTATATCTCTGGTGCAGAAAAGGTATAGGCTTATTGGTTAGAAGGAAAATAAAGTATTACTTCTGAACTCGTACATCACTTCTTTTGTACCTGCAGTGGTCACTTTTTTACTATCATTTCCTAATGCATTTTAGCATGTAGCTATCAATTTCCTTTGTTTGATGCTACTGCTTCTCTTTCCCACATTGTCTCTCTCTAACTATTACCTGCTTTATGTATATTGCCTATCATTTCAGTATTATTCCACTAACCTTGAGACTTTTTTTTTTCTCCTCATGACTCAGTTTTATGGCAATTGTCCTCCTAGAGGAGCAGGATTTTCAAGTGTGCTTCCGATATCTGTTTCCTGAGGAGTAAAAACTTGCTGCTGTGTCAGCAGACTGTCGCATAGATCTCCCACTTTATATCATTTTTGCCATAGTGGTTTTGAGCAGACTTAAGATACAGAACTTTGGGCAATGACCATTTCTTCATTTGGGGGAGGGAGGGGGGAATGTTGTATTATTTCTTACAGCTATTCTCTAGCTATCCTTCCTGGATCTCCTTCCTCCCTCTCTTCCAACTGCCACTGGTGGCAGCACTTCAAGTGTGACGGGCAGGATAACGAAAGCTCATGATACCATTTACATGTTTTATTAGTTGTTAAAGTGCTACCAGACTATTTGTTGTTTTTTAAGTTTATCCTGTACTGACTAACTCGGCTGCCCCTTTGAAACATTTATCTGTGTCAGTTTTGGGTCTCCGAGGTATCTAGGCTCTTTTACTGAACCCATTCATGTAGTTTTTGATCACATGCTCCTTCTCAGCGTCAGTTGCTTCAGAAGATGAGATTCCTTTCCTTTCCAGAGACCAAACATGCTTCATTTTTGGCACTGTCTGTACTGACAAGGAAACAATATTAGGCAACTAATTTTAAAATTTAATTTAAAATTTAGTTTATACTAAAGTCATTGGGCTGGCTGGCTAATGCAGTCCAAACTATATTCCATATTTTAGAAAATGGTTATGTTTGTGAAGTGCTGGCTAGAGAAACGGGTATGAAGTTACCTTTTACAAGGGTCATGTTTAAAAATGGTTCTGTTGCCAGAGTAGATGGACTAGGGAAGAATTGATAGTGGCTTTAGCAGAAGCAGTCCTGTAATTCTTGCAGTTGAGCTGCAGCATGCTTCTCCAGGGCACTCACTGAGACATTCTGTCACACTAAATCATAAAAGCCTGACTATTTCCAGGCTGTAGGGGGTGATATGACATTTTTAGAAACTTACCTATGTCATTTTGATCTTTATGGAAATATTGCCCCTTAAATCAGGCTGAAGTATATTGGTGAACTGGGTATTGAAACTGGCATTTCATGCTGATTTAACATTGCTCCTCTCTCCTTCTGTTTCAGCAGTGTGCTGGGTAAAAGGGACCGGGACCCATATGTCAGTGGTCTAGGATGGCCAGTGAAGGCTCCAACATCCCAAGTCCTGTGGTGCGTCAGATTGACAAACAGTTTCTGATTTGCAGCATATGCCTGGAACGTTACAAGAACCCTAAAGTACTTCCCTGTCTGCATACTTTCTGTGAGAGGTGAGAGCTGTTTTCCCCATTGCGGTTCACTGGGAATGGGTGACAAGGGATGGATCACATGATGATTACCTGTTCTATTTATTCAGGGGCACTTGGCATTGGCTACAGGATACCAGGCTAGATTGATCTTTGGTCTGAGCCAGTATGGCTGTTCTAAAGTTCTTATTTTCACAGTTTTCTCTCAGTTACCACAATGTGTACCCACAAACGTATAGTTACCTTTAACCGACAGTATACCATCTGTCTGTCTAGATCATCTTGGAGCATGACTCTGAGCTAAAGATTAGAGAGGTGAACTGGCACTATTCATATTAGGCAGTGAGCAGAAGACGGTAACAGAATATCTGTCATCCCAGATTTTTATTTTTATAAATGAATGATTTATGCTTTTTCCTTTCCTTCACTCCACCATCCCCTTTTGGTTTTGCTTTGTTAAAAAAGCAACGACTGAACTTAAAGAGAAATAACTAAGTTAAGGTATGCCTAAACTTCAAAGATGTTTGTATTCTTAACAGAGGTTAGCTAATCACCATTAGCTGGCTTGGGTTAGAGTCCTTTGTTTTCTTTTCAGAGAGAATCATTCTGCTTCTATATTTTCAGTGGCATTACAGTGATGAGTAATTTTAATATCCATGAAGTTTCTTCATTTATACTGGAATGAGAAGAGAATCAAGTCCATGATATTTTAAATTCATTGTCCTTTTTTGTTCACTGTGATTCTACAAGGTTATTTCTAAATGACCAATAAATAGAGGAATGTCTTTGTATGTAGCATAGTGATAGGAATGTAGCCGTGTTAGTCTGGGGTAGCTGAAGCAAAATGCAGGACAATGTAGCACTTTAAAGACTAACAAGATGGTTTATTAGATGATGAGCTTTCATGGGCCAGACCCACTTCCTCAGATCAAATAGTGGAAGAAAATAGTCACAATCATATATACCAAAGGATACAATTTTAAAAATATGAACACATATGAAAAGGACAAATCACATTTCAGAACAGGAGGGGGATGCGGGGGGAGAGGGGAAGGAAGGAAGGTCAGTGTCTGTGAATTGATGATATTAGAGGTGGGGAGAGTGGGATGTCTGTGAGCTAATGGTATTAGAGGTGATAATTGGGGAAGCTATCTTGGTAATGGGTAAGATAGTTTGTATGTAGCCGTACTGAAGGTTCTCCTAGACTGCCATAGGTTTTTAGAGACTTCAAGGCCTGATCCAATTTCATTTATACCATTGTACATTAAAAGCAAATCAATAAAGGTGTTTCAGGGTGTTCTTCTAATATAAAAATGGTGTGAAATCAGAATCAAACCAAAAGATCAACAAGGTCAATTTTATAATTACAGGCAGTCCCCGGGTTACGTACAAGATAGGGACTGTAGGTTTGTTCTTAAGTTGAATCTGTATGTAAGTCGGAACTGGCGTCCAGATTCAGCTGCTGCTGAAACTGACCAATAAAGGTGTTTCAGGGTGTTCTTCTAATATAAAAATGGTGTGAAATCAGAATCAAACCAAAAGATCAACAAGGTCAATTTTATAATTACAGGCAGTCCCCGGGTTACGTACAAGATAGGGACTGTAGGTTTGTTCTTAAGTTGAATCTGTATGTAAGTCGGAACTGGCGTCCAGATTCAGCTGCTGCTGAAACTGACCGCCAGTTCTGAC